ACAGCCTGAAAAGGAGCCTCAGTGATCGGTTCAGATGTCAGCAAGGTTTGCTTCCCTCCCGGAGCTCAGCTCTGCTCTGGCTGCCGGCACTGCGGGGCCAGTGCAGCTCCTGGGGCAAAGCGCAGGAACGCGGCCCCGAGGCAGGGTTGCAGAGCTGCACCTTGTGCCCAGGACAGGACAGCGCCTGCGAAGACGCAGAAACCTCCTGGCTTTGTGGGAGGTTTCTGCATCTAGGACACATGGCAGATGTACAGTAACTATGATATTAAATGCGCTTTCATCACAGTCCATGCCTGAAATGGAAGCTCTGGTCCAAAGGTAGCATCGTCTGTCTCATGGTGAGCTTACTGCTCCAAGACACTCAATTTGAAAAGTGTTTTCCTCCAATTGCAAACTGACCTCAGCCTGAGGAAACAAGCTGGACTGTCTCCTTCAGGGCACTGTCACCAGCTAATTAATGGCTTTTCAAGATCATCACAATCTTTCTGGCCACCTGTCTGGTAAGAGAGGCCAGAGAGCTCAGCCCGCTCGCCCTGTGCCCAGCCTACGCTGCTGCTGCACCACGGCTGTGGCTGAGCCAGAGCCCGGGCATGGCAGACAAGGCACCTTCCCTTACACAGAGGTTCCTCACACTTGTTTCCATCAGGCAGAGCGTTACACCTGGAAAAGCACGGATCTGCCAGCCTGCAGACAACTGACCAGTCATAGTTAATCCACTGGTTGTAATTTCCATACAAGATGTTCCCTCTTTTGCAGTGGATAAGGTGTTCAGGATTGTTCAGGGTTTCTCATATGCACAAGAAAAAAATGTACAAATGGGTTAAAAAGGTGAACAGACAGGAAAGCTAAGAAATGGAGTAGAAGGTGAGCTCCTTCAGGAATCGAAGAACCAGCAAATCGCTGCTATAAAAACATACGGGTACGAAACAGGAGCCTCCTGCAGCTTAGCAATAACTGAGGTACGGAAGCATCACTGCTGGGACATATTTCAAGTGGAAGAAGGAACAAACAAGAATAATTCAGGTACTATTGTCATTTCCACATCCCCAAGGTTAAGCACAGGTTCCCTCTCAGGGTCCCACCACTCAGCTTTGCTACTTCTTGCTTTACTGCACTGCCCATCTATGAACCTTTTGCTGGAGCTACTCGTACCATCCAACCTTCTATTGCAAGATTTTTATTTCTCTTAGCTCCAGAGCCAAAATCAAGTCACACGAAGTCAAAGTGGAAAAAAAATCCCTTCCTCAGCCGGGGACTGCAAAAAACCTGCCAAGAGAAGGTGAGGGGTGAGTGTTACTGGGCAGGCTCGGAGGCAGCCCCGGCTCTCGCACTGTGCCTCCTCTGCAGCTTGGGCAGAAGCGGCACAGCTCACCCCTGTGTGGCTGCTGGGACAGGGACACAGCTCAGGTGGCTCAGCTTGGTGGGAAACGAGGATACAAGCTCTGCAGAATTAACTAACAGGGAGGACTATGGGTCTCTGCCACAGGTTTCTTTTTCTTTGCACGCCTTACTCTGTGATGAGCACAGGACCAAAGGCTGAGACCTCGCCTTGCACAGCCACCGTGGACCCTCACTTCCCACATGGGTCCTCTCGCTCCAGACACTGCACACTTTGTATCAGCATCTGCCAAATACCCTGCTCATCGTCTCACAGAAGACAACTGCCACGCAAGCCCTAACCGCCACCAAACCGGTGCTCGGCAGCGCTCCCCCAGGGAAGGCTCCCAGCCGAGAACAGGAGGCTCAGCACGCTGTCCCCACGGCCCCAGCACCAGCGTATCAGGGGACAGATTAGCACAGTAAGTGGGGTTGCTCAATTTATTTAAGGATGCCAAGGGAAGGAAGGCACGGCGACCAGCGGGAAGGGACTGGGATCAGTCTGCGTGCCAGCAAAGCCTACACGGAGAAGCAGGTGCGATGGGAAAGGGAAGGTTGTCACCTCGTCCCAGCCTGGCCCGAATCCGTAATCTCCACCTCAGGGGTAAAAACAAGTAAAAACAACCCTCCCGATTTCACAACTAGGTATTTTTTTAAAAAAAGCAAAACCCAAGAGCACCTGAGAACTACAGCAAAGTGTGATTCTTCTTCATCCCACCAGACTCTTCCCGGGGGTTAGTAAAGATGCTGATGACTCAGTGAAGAGAGGTACATTCATTAGTTTTCTGTGCCAGAAAGTTGGAAAATTTGTGTACATATTTTAGTCCAGAAAAAGGGCAGAGTGTAGAACAAAAAAACTAAAATATAACTGAAGAGAACCAAACCAGGGTATTTCCAGAGGGACTGATCCTCCGAGGACAGAGACGAGCGGTCACTGAACCTGCGCCCAAAAAGCCAGGCTGCGTCTGGGATGGGACAACCGGGCATGAATGGAGAGAGAAAAATGCGATTTACTGGGAGAACCATCACCAGTGGTCAGCAACATCCCCAGCACATCTGGGGAGGGAAAACTCTGCGCTTCTCTCCTGAAGCAGTTTTTGTACACCAAGAAAGAAAAATCCTCTAGGCTCTCCTGCTTTGGGAAGCCAGGTGCCCAGCCCTGCGGCAGGCAGGCTCGCTGCCCATCACTGCGCTGATGAAAACCGCAAATTCGTGCCTCACAAATCCTCACTGCGAAAAATGTCCCTTGAGGTGCCTCAAGTGAGGAACAAAGAAGCCGAAGCTTACAACCTGGGCAGGAGGCTCATGCCTCGTACAGCTGCCACCCTCCGGACGGCGTGCTCGGGGCGTTGCTCAGGGCTTCAGACACTCCTCTCTCACAAATACCTACCTTCTATCTCTGCAAGTGTTTCATTAGAGCTGTCAAGCGTGGTTCGTAATGGTACCCAATAATCACAAAGACCCCATTATCTGTTTGAGCCTTTAAAAAAAACCACCCCCACAAACTGCCAGCTCCAACCCCATGTTCACTGAGCCCTGGAAACACACAGACACCCCATCCCTCCTCCCTTAACACCATGCTCTGCCTCCATCCGCCACTCTCAAGCCCCACCTCAGCACTCGCCTCCAGACCTTCACAATGTCTACCCAGAGCCTGAAACCAGGAAGGAGAGAGATGCCGATGGCACGTATGGGCATCTCCTGTAGCACACGCTGCCAACTCCAAGGCTCTTCTGTTCCTCTCTCCCACCTCACACCCAGTTAAATACACTTTTGATGATGTCCTCGTAAGAAAGTGACACAAATCAGACATAATTAACAGGACTGTTCAGAACAGGCTTCCCACAGAAAGTCATGCTCTAGCCTCGCACTGCTCCCCAAACCAAGCAGACCAACGCTGCAGAGCTGCCCCTCAGTTCTCCCATTCCCTTGCGCAACAGTTGGAGAGAGGAAACTCTGTGGAAAATGCATTTTTGAGAGAAATGAGGCTGAATCTGAGTCAGTTTAACTGGGAGGAGTAGTCAGGACTGATTCACAAACCTTCTGCAGAGAAAGAGACAGCCTTCGCTTAATCCAAGAGCTCAGTAATTGGGAAAGCAACAGGCACTGGGTGACTTGAGGCCACTCCCTTTGTCCGAAAGGTCTGGGCTCCCAAAAGCAGGATCATTCCCCGCTTCAGCTGCCCCATTCCCCGCTTTGCATACAAGGAGTCCCTGATAAAGAGGGTGAGAAGGCCCACCTTGGTGACCACAACACATGCGCAGGAGATGGGCACTGGGCTTCAGTCTTGGCTCCAGGGAGTGTCTGACATGGTGTGACCAGGCTGGCAGCTCCACCACAGCCAACTGCTCCTCCCCACACAGAGTGGCAAGAGGCGTGAGCCCAAAGCCGTGCATGAGAAGGGCGTGAATTCAGGTTCTTTTACATCCCACACAACTGCTCTAGCCAAGGGAAGACAGGGACAATGCACTTTCTCACTTTTCTGAGTCTAGCTCATGTCTTCGGGTTTTTTTGGTTTTTGGTTTTTTTTTGGAAATGCCTAAATTCAGTGAGTTGAACAGAACCACATGCAAACGATTAAATGATGTATGATCAAATGATGACTACGAACATCTACAAATTACTAGATCTGCTGGATTTAACAGGCACTTAAAAATTCCTGACCCTTAACAACTAAGTTTGTCTTTGGTTACTTAAAACCCAACTTAGACACCTTAATTCCTCCTAATGCATCTGCTCCAGGTAGAACCCAAGCTGCAGCATCTGGCAGAGGCAGAGTCACCACACATGGCTAACCCGGACTACGTACATTGTATGGACATGGGAGACACGATCTCTTCATCCAAATCGTCCACGTCATCGGTCATGATGAAGTGTGAGGGGTTGGGCCGGGGGGTGCCCATCCAGCTGGGGTCGATGTTGAGGGCTGACGCCAGGCTGTGGATGCCGGGGTTGTTGACGATCTGGAAGCCGCAGAGCAGCTCTATCTGCTGCCAGCGATGCAGGCGCTCCCGCAGCGCAGCTGTCACCTCGCTTAGAGCTTGCCTGGAAGCAAAGTTCAGACAAAGGAAAATGTAGGGAATGAAGGAAAAACACCCCACCAATTGTCTGAAATGGTGAGTCAAGTGGTTCAGCTTTGTATCCTAATATTTAAGACATCTTTCATTCCACTTTCAGGAATACAGGAATCAAAATAAACAACAACAATGGAAATATCCAAGGAAAACTGCCGCCTCCTGAATTCTCATTTTGACAGGACTTTAAATTGCTCTGCATAAATGCAATTTCTTTTTTCACACCAAGAAAATCAGGTTATCAATTAAAAGGAGCAAGTTCAATTGCAGCTAACCAAAGTCAGCAGGACAGAAGTTCAGCAGAATGAGGACAAGAGGATCTGCACAGGCTGCAACTCGCTCATGGTTGTAGCACGAGCTGGGTGGAAGAGGCAGGGAAAAATATAGGAAGTTATTAAGTAGATACTCACTTTGCAGTTAGGATTTTATGATCAACATCATCTAGAGATGAGCTGTGAGCAACGTGAAATGTTCCAAACAGGGTGTTTCGCTTCTTTTTAATTTTTTCAGCCTGGAACATCAACAGAAAAAGGTCACAGGAAGAAGACAACCTCATGTTTCCTCCAGGACAAGAACATCCTGGATAGGTTGAGATAAAAATAGTCCCTGCAGCTGTCTGCACACATGTAAATAGTGTGAACTGGGTTTTTACTGAAGGATGTTATTATTCCTAACATGGAGGGTGAGGAATTTGCGAGCAGCGAATAAGTAGGTTGCAGGTTTCATGCTCCTCCTTGGCCCTTCTCCTGATTTCCCAGTGGTCAGACGAAACTGACCCAGCTGCTTCATACAGCGAAGAGCACTCACAAAGCCTTGTTTGGTCTCTCCCATTAGTAAACTGTCAGAGAAGCACTGATAATGCCCTTGGGTTGTTGCTTTGTGGAGCTTTTTTGTTTGGGGGTTGATTTTTTTCACTTTCCCTTTGTCACACTCTGTGTATTCAAAATTAGAGTCTCCAAACACAGATCAAGGGGCATTAACTTGAGACTTGCAAAAGGCAAAGCAAGGATGTGGACATGAGAACTAAAAAGATATTAAGGCAGACCGTTCTTTCCCTGCCGCCAGCTCTGACTGCTGTGTATATCCACAGAGACAAACACATCACAACAGCTTCCTGATGGCTCATCGCTTTTCGGCTGGCACAGTTTGAAAGAACTGGGAATGCTGGAATGATTCATCACCACAGGTTGCATGCACATGGTCGAAATTCTGCTGCCTGTGCACGTAAATCACCTTGAGCAGGGATTATGCTTAATAGGTGCAAAACCTTCTGCTCACTGACTACCCAGAGCACGGTCATGGACAGGCCAACGCAGCCGAGGAGCTTGCCCAGCTCAGCGCCCGCCCTGCCCTCGCAGGTGACAGCTCATCACCATTTTCACACCCTGCTTACACCTCTATGAAGGTTTGTGCTGCACCTCAAAAGAGCACAAATATAAGCCACTAAAAGGGAAATAAAGAAGGTGTAGAGAAACCAACTCTGCAGGTTTCATTGCCCAAACCTTTCCCCGTGGCTGAGAGGGGAAGACCTGGGACAAGATGCTGAGAGCCCCCTTGCAGTACTGTGTCCAGCTCTGGGGCTCCTGGCAGAAGAAGGACAGAGATCTGTCGGAGCAGGTCCAGAGGAGGCCACAGAGATGCTCAGGGGCTGGAGCACCTCTGCTACGAGGACAGGCTGAGGGAGCTGGGGCTGTTCAGCTGGAGAAGAGAAGGCTCCCAAAGGGGAGACCTTAGAGCCGCCTCCCTGTATCTGAAGGGGCTACAGGAGAGCTGGGGGGTGACCCTTGGTCAGATCAGGAGTATTGGTTTCAAGCTGAAAGAGGGGAGATTTAATTAGGAAGTAATTATTTTCTGTGGGGATGGTGAGACCCTGGCACAGGCCACCCAGAGAAGCTGTGGCAGCCAGCCCCTCCCTCGCAGCATCCAAGGCCAGGTTAGATGGGGCTTGGAGCAACTTGCTCTGTGGGAGGGGTCCCTGCCCGTGGCAGGGGGGGTGGAGCTAGACCATCTTTCCGGGCCGTTGGAGCTAGACCATCTTTCAGGTCCCTTCCAACCCAAACCATTCTATGATTCTGTGAAATTCTCACCCCTTCCTTGGCCACCAGCAGCTGTTTCTCTGCATTCTGTTTCTTGATGTTGTAGTACTGGACCTCCACCTCGTGGGTCAGCTGGAGCCACTTCTGCAGGGCTTCGGGCGCAGCCCAGCTGCAGTGGGACTCCAGCTCCTTCTCGGCGTTTTTCAGGGCCATCCGCACCTGGGGGAGAACCAAGCAGATGGGGTTGCAGCAGCAGTGGGGAGACAGCCTGCCTTTCTGGCAAGGTCACCCAACTGCTGCCTGACAACCTGGTGCTTTTAAGGCACCAGAAAACCGAAAAAAAACAGATTGGATGGGGCTTTGAGCAACCAGGTCCAATGGAAGGTGTCCCTGCCCATGGCAGGAGGGTTGGAACTGGATGATCTTTAAGGTCCCTTCCAACCCAAACCATTCTCTGATTCTTATGAAAAAAAGGCTCCGCAGAATTTCATCTTACTCGTGGCAGAAGCAGAGGTCGTTAGGAGGAGAGATGGCACCCTGGTCTGTGGGCAAGCAAGCGAGAGCAGTGACCACGCAACAGACAAGGCTGCTGCTGGCATGAGCAGAACCTGTGGCGCCTGCCTTTCATGCCTAAAGCCGAGCTCTCTCCTCAAATCCTCTCACCCATCATGATGCCTTCCCGCCTCAGCACCTCAGCTCTCGGGGAAGGTGAGCAGGGCTGACCTGGTTTTCCCCTTCATGTCCGCTCCTCTGCCTTCCAATGGCACAAACTGCGGGTAAACCCTCCAGAGCTGACAGTACGATGCAAGTGTTGGTGAAAAGAGAGTTAGGTTTTAGGAAAAGATCTTCAGGGGTGCTTATCATAGCCTCTAGAAAACTCTGCCAAGTTTGCTGCCTGTCTGCAGGTCTGCAAACCCCACAGCTCCTCCTCCCGAGGCAGAATCGCCTTCTCTCACCGCAGTGACTGAGCCAAACTGAAGGAACTTGTCAAGAGACAACTTTCACACTGGAGCAAGATGATAAAAATATTTAGACACAAAACATGTGCTGCTTGGTCAGGAAAAGAAATAACATGTCTGGAATAAGCAGTTTCTGAGCTTTCTGGGGGACTTGCCTTCCATCCCAGCTCAGTCTCTTCCACACACTTACTTATCTTGCTGGAGATGGGAGCAATTACAAAATTAGAAGAAAGTGAGTGACAAGCAAGTTGAAGATGCCAAAACCTTACATAAAAGCATTTAGAGCTAAAGACCATCAAAAATTAACACTTCTCTTTCATTACATATGATGTGGAGAGACTTCAACAAACCTAAACCCTGCGAGAAGTTAAGATATCCCACACTGGAGAAACTGAAGGACGGTGACTGCAGCTTGGAGCTGCTGCCATCCAGGGCCAGCACAGCAGTGGAGGGCTGGACTAATCTCCAGCCACGGCACCTCGAAGCTCAGGAGGGGAATACATGCTTAAAATAAAAGCCAACCCTAAGCACTTTTACGAGCTTTCACTGCCCCAGCAAGCCCTGGTCCACGAACAAGGACCTTCTAGCTCAGGTGCAGCTGGCAGTCAGGGCTGCCCACGGATCACCGGGATGATGTCTGTCCCCTTTTCTCTCCGAGTTCTCTACAAAGAGGCCCAGGTCTAAGACACACAGAGGCAGCAGGAGTGTGACCTGCTCAGGCTCTGCACCAGACCCTTCCCAATGCTCAACAGCCAGGTTTCCACCCACCCCTGCATGGTGCTGCTGCCTCTTTGTTTCCCACACAGCACAGTCATGACCAATTGAAGAGAAGCATTTTTCCAAAGATTGCTCAAACTTGGATCTTTTCCCTTAACGTGTTATTTAACTCAGTCACGTCTCAGCAAGTCTGGCACAGGCGTAACTTCTAGTGAGCCAAAAGCAGCAGGTTCCATGCAGATACTTTGAAATCCTATATTTTATCCTGGAGGACACTGGCACAGTCCATCGAGAAGTAGCCAGGAGGCACTGCACATAACAGTCACATACCTATGACACTTGTGTGTGATTTAGTCTTGTTGAGCATAACAGTGCCTAAATCATTCAAAAAGTTAGAAATTCAGAATCACAGACCCCAGGAAGGTCTATTTTTCCCCTATGACACCAGTGGCAATGGGTGCTGCTCTCACCACAAGCTGAACTCTTCACCATGACCCATAAGCATCTCAGTTTTAGGAATACTGAGAATAAATGGGTAGGAAATGTGCCATTGGGTGTTTGGGATAGAGGAGTGCTCAAAACATCCACAGGAACAACATTTTTATGAATGGTGGAAAAGGAAAGCGGTGCAGAACAACGGTCAAGGTTGAGATGAGCTATCATACAGCAGCATCCCAACCAAACCTCCTTGGTTCTGCAGGGCAATCAATACAAACAGGAGTCACTCGGTGTGTCTACATTCTCCTGTGAAGATTTCTAAGATCTCATTTTGACCATCAAGAGCAATAACTTATAGAGTGAGGAATGTCCTCTGGGTCTGCATCCCTGGCTGGGTCCATGGTCTAGGGGAGGACGACCTAGTGAGGAGAGAGGATTGGTATGAACAGCCCAGTATGGGCGAGTCCCAACCCAGGACTACACTGCTTCTGCACCTCATTCACCCAGCTCCAGCAGGAGCCTGCAAACCCTCCACTATCATTTTAGAGATAAGAATCAATGGGTGCAAAATAAAGTCTCGTTCTGTTCCCTGGGATCTAAGAATACTCTAAAGTCAGGTGAGTTTTACAGTCAGTAGGAGTGACTGGTTAATGGTATCTGTGGTCTACAGCTCGCTTCGACGGTGAGAGTGTTATAATCACACAGTGTGGGTCAGGTGGGCAAAGCCAATACTCACCCTGCCAAGGCATCCCTCCCGAAGGCCTCTGAGGAACAACACAGCGGTTGAGTCACCTCTGGCTTTCCGGGTTTCTTAACACGTGTAAAGTGGAGGGGGAAGAGGAAGGGATGAGACCCTGCCTTCTGCAAAAGTCAGGAGCAGGTCGGGTACAAGGGCTTGGGGTTACAAGACGGAGGCAACACATCCTTGTTCTATGTCCCACAATATAAAGTGACCCAATTTCTGGGGGTGTGAGTCTGGACATCCCAATGTGTGTCCTGAAGCAGATCTCAGTGACTTTGTGGAGAGGCTAGAAGACTATGGAGGAGGAACGATGTTGGATCACAGGAGCAAAGCTGGTAACAGGCATCAGTGTGCCAAGCAGGAATACTGCTGCACTGACTGTGGCTCCCTGGTTCCCTGAACCCAGGACAGTTGTTTCTCCCTTGTCTCGTTTTCTTCCCCATCCTACATGTGGCATAAAAAATGGCACAACCAGGTTGGAGGATATGCTGGCACCTCACAAGATCCATGGTTGTTGCCTCACTCGCACACTTCTGGCTCACACCACTTCAGTTTAAACCGATCTATAAACTAAAGTCAGATAATAATTGTCGCTCAGGTGAAACAGGGAGCAGCAACTAGAATGGTGGGTTTGGACCTCTCTTGCAGCCTTGGGCAAAGGGCAGGTTTGAGGTAAAATGCCCATGTGCTCGCTCTTTGCCCTCTGTTACTGCAGGCAGGGACCGACCGTAAGCAATGTCTTTGATTTCCATTATTTCCCTAAGGGTTTTGTTGTAAGCCTTGGGGTTTTTAGATGTACGGCTGGGAATGTTTTTTTGACCTACAACAAATTAATTTACAAATGTTCTGTGTAACCTTCTAGACAAAATGTCTTTCCTTTTTGCCAGCAGCAGCAGCATTATAGACAATATTCCGCCTAAGCCTACATTACGATATGTAACTCGGGGACATATTTTCCTATTACTCTAAGCTTAAAACTAACGTCTTTGAGAATTGCATATGAACTCTAACCTTGCTGTAGAGATTCTAATCTAGTGCTAAATTTCCTTGGAAGGAAATTTCCTTCGTACGCCTCTCTGACCCACAAGAAAACATGGTAAGCACAACTGAACCCATTAAATCTCTTGTACAACCACAAATAGAGAGAAAAGGGAAAAAAGAAAGAACTTATGGTTTGGAGCAGGAGTCAGAAGTCATCAGAGGGGTGCAGCTCTGTACAGGTGAAGTTCAGTGCCTCTCCTTCTGCAGGGCAAGTGAGGACGATGTGCGGTGGCAGCACATTGCTCTTGAGACAGCACCTACACTGTCGCCCCACCCGTCACACAAGCTGTTGGATGTACGGTGATGTGGAATATGGAGTAGTGAGAGAAACACCTGGACCTCTCTCTCCATAAAGATGTGTGCAAAAACAAAGGTGGGAGAACATCCAAAGAAGAATATGACTGGATTCCTCAGCAGGATGAAGCAGTAGTGAGGAACCACCTACGGCTCTCACTGGTGTGTCTCACACGTAAGGGTATCCACCTGGCAAACACATTACCTGCTCCAGTTCTTGCTCAGCGTATTTCTGCCGGCTCAGCTCATTCTCCGTGCCCTCCCGCAGCTCTCGGAGCCGGTGTGCCTCCTGCTTGGCGATGCTGATCTCGTCTTGCAGCTTCTTCTCCAGATGCACCTTTTCCACCTCCACGGAGCGATGCTCCTCCTGCGCCTTCTGTAACCTGCAACACACACAGACCAAGGGCCAGTGCTGTGGTGCTGATGGCAACCAGCATCGTCCAGCCCAACCCTGCTCGGATTAACTTTGTGTTGACACCAACAGAGATCTGTGCCTGGAAAGCCAAGGAGGAAGTTTACTGCGTCCAGGAAGAAATTACACTGTAGAGTCTCTATTTCATTTATTAAACACTCTGTACATCTTAGTTTTCCAAAGCACATAAGGATCTCCTTTAATAAGCTTCAGAATAATTTCAATTTTCAGTGTTTTTACAAAAGTGAAGATCTCTGCCTTTAATAAAAATCAAGGAGGGTAAGATTTGCCTGAAGAGGTATGACCACCCAGATGGGATGTCTTCATGTTCCCCTGGAAAAAGCCTTCAAATTTAGACATGTCTTAATCATAGAATCATCAGGGTTGGAAGGGACCTTAAAGATCATCCAGTTCCAACCCACTGCCATGGGCAGGGACATTCCCCACTAGATCAGGCTGCCCAGAGCCCCATCCAGCCTGGCCTTAAAAACTCCCAGGGATGGGGCTTCCACCCCCTCTCTGGGCAACCTGGGCCAGGATCTCACCATCACCATAAAAGGTTTCTTCCTTCCATCTAGTTTGAATCTACCCTCTTGCAGTTGGAAGCCATTACCACTACATTTGCTTGTGAGCAGCCTCTCCCCAGCTCTCCTGCAGCCCCTTCAGGTGCTGGCAGGCCACTCTAAGGTCTCCGCAGAGCCCTCCCTTCTCCAGGCTCAACTCACTGGGGAGGTGCTCCAGCTCCTAAAGGAGCACAGCCCAAGTGCAGGCTTGTGGCAGGCACCCATCATTGCCTTCAGGTCGAGAGCAGAGCCCCTCCCTCTCTCAGCCAAGGACTCCTCTTCCTCAGGCTCCTCATCAGCGTGCAGGTGGACATTTTAAACAGATTGGATGGGCTGGACTCTCGTCAGCCACGATGTTGGCTCTCTTCTTGGAAAAGGCTCATTTTCAATTTACAGCTCTGTTGAGAAACTCAAGTGTTTTTCTTCTCAATTTAAAGTGACTCTTGCCAAGACATTCCAAGTTTTTAGATAAACCCACGCTCTCTGCCCTGTGCATCCGCACTAAAGCTCTTCCATACTAGGGCTGTAAGAATCCCAAACCACCAAAATATCTCTCTTTAAAGGAGAAATTCCCCTAAACTGTGAGACAGAATGGGAAGGAATTTTATTCTTAAGATAATTCTCAAAGCACTCTAACACTGTACTTGCCCTTACCACCATAGCTTCCCGACAGCAGAATCCACGTTTTCTTATGTTGGTTACGGACAAACCCATGTTTTGTCTGTTCATTCCCGTTCAAACCCAGTCGACTGAAACACACTGGTTTCATGTGCACTGAGCTCCAAGAGACAACAAAGTGCCTTCGGAGCTGCACTTGCAATGAGGGCAAGAAATTGAGGTCCATCTACTAGAGCCTCCACAATTCAGGGGCAGATCTTCAATACAGATCTCTGCACAATCTTCTGTCATCAGGAGAATGTGCTGAGACATGAACTTTTTCATCTTAATAGGTCATTTAATTGACTGGGAAGTGTCACTGTTGAAGGATGTTCTCAAAAGTTTTTTGAAGATGAACAAGAAACGTCTTTTTGTATTAATCTTCCCCTCCCAATCCTTCAGAAGCAGACAAGAGTTTTCCATCAAATAACAGTGCCAGCAGCTGGCAGGCAACAGGGAAGGTATCATAGGCCTTCCAGAGACCTACTCAGCACTGAGTTTCAATGAGCCAGGAAAGGAGGTTACCTCAAGCTCTAGAAAAGAAGATTCTGAGCAGAACTTCCGAACAAGCAAGTCCATGGCAGCTGGTGGGGTTGGTAGTTTTTGCCATTTCTACAGTGGCCGAGGACCACAGCTGAACCTTGCTGGGGTACAAGACTGAAGAAGCAAAGGTGTACTCCTCCGCTGGAGGAGAATTAAAGCAATCCTCTGCCAAGAGGCTCCCTTAAGGTCTAGGAATTCACCTCCCACTTCTCAAGGTCCTGCTCAGTGCTCCCTGCAGAGGACAAGCCCTCCCAACTGCATCCAGGGCAGAAACATCACAGGCTGCCCTGGCTTATGACTCAAGCTATGCTTAGTATACGTGTTTTTCTGTTTCTTCCTATCTGGCTTTAGAGTATTAGCTGAACTTCCCAGGCACAGTGACTTGTTTATGTGGCTCTGCCCTCAGCAGCAGAGCCCAAGGTCACTCCCCACATGGCACATTGATAGCAGCCGGTGTTTGGACCTCTGGCGTGACCTGCTCTTCAGCAACACCCAGCAGACACCTCCTGACCTGGACACAGCTCTGCTGCTCCAGGAGGTGGATGTTGAGAGGGAATTCCTGTGTCCTTCTGGCTGTAGGAAAAGAAAAAAAAAAGATCTTTTTCTTTTGGGGTATGTCCCACCTGTGATGTAAAATTACAAAAAGTTCTGTGAAACCAGCTGTGGACTAGAGTTGGCTCCATGGTGGGCAGAGCGGAAATGCACTTTATCTCCATGCCAGAAAGAAAGCAGGTCATGTACCCACATCACTGCCAGGGGAACGTGCCCAGTTTGGCATCATCACCTTGGTACTCTCTCAGGTTTTTGCCCTCCACACAGATGCTGACTGACGTGACCGCACTTGAAGGAGAAAGCCTTTCGAGTAAAATTCACATGCGGGACAATTCCCTGAAGGCTGTCACAAAGCAAGAAAGCAGGCTGCAGTCTTGTGAGGATGTCAGAGGGTTTCCAAATCTCAGCCGTTTGCAAAAGTCCCCAACATCCTTGGGATGCCAGAGCTGACAAGGTCACTCCTCCCCACTGCCCCCGTGAATGACCAGCACGAGGACCTGAGGTCAGGTGGAGGATGTACTTGTCAGGTTATGTGGCAGGCAAATTAAGTTTTATCCTCCAAAATTACACTTAAAATAAATAATTATAGCCCAAGACTACAGTGCTCTGTTATGTGACAAATCTGCCCATAAAAAATATCTTATTGCCAAGAAACCCCACTGGACACTTGGGAAGATGTTGACTCTGGTACACGGCAGCAGGGAAAATCTGTCCTGAAATCTAAATGAAGAATAACCTTGCAAGAAAGATTGATAGTTGAATGCTCCAACTAGGTGGAAACACAAAACACAGAATCACAGAATCGTTGAGGCTG